GGGGGCGGAATATGCCAAGACATTCCCCATGACATAACCGATTATTAAGAGATATTGGCTTCATAGTTCGGCATATTCTTTTAAAGTGTCGCGGTAATAGTAGGCAATGGCTAATAGGATATTAAGGACAATCAGACCAGTTAAACCATTTTTCTTATAAACAATATACTCCATTAGAAAAATTATTAAAAAAAGCATTCATTTTGTCATCTGCTTTTGCGAAGCCGCAACAGTTTGCTCCATTTCTTTTAATTGTTGAGTTAATTCTTCCAGTTTTTTGTCAGTTTCATGTTCTTGCTGTTCCTTCTCTTCTTCTTCCTCTTCGGGTTGTTCTTGGAGGGCTTGTTTGGAGAGGGTTTGAATTTGATTTCATTGTTGCTGAACTTCTTTTTGTTTTTGCTCTTGAATTTCCTCTTGATTTTTTTCTAAGGTTTCTTCAAATTCTTGTTTACTTTCTAAACTCGTTAATTGTTCTTGGGCTGCTTGAATTTCCTGTTGTGCCTGTTTAGTTTCCTGTTGGGCTTCTGCTAATTTTTGTTGATTTTGTTTACTTGGTTGACTTTGAGCCTTTTGTTGGGTTTTTTTTACTTCCTGCTGTTTTCTTTCTAATTTCTTTTTAGCGGCTTTTAGTTTGGTTTCGGTTTCAGTGATTTTTAGAGAAGTAGCCGTGGAGGGTTTGGGAGGAGGTGGAGTGGAAGGTTGGTTTTCTGCTTTGGTTAATTCTTGATTGATTTCTTGCTGAATAGTTTGTAATCTTTCCAAAGTCTCTTTTTCTAATTCGGTAAATTTTTCTAAAAAGGAATTATCGGATTGGTTTTCTTCTGGTTCGTTATTCTGTTGTTGATTGGGTTGAGTTTGTTCTGGTTTTCTTTTTTCTAAATCAGTTAACGGGGCTGATTCATGTTCTCCTAATAATCTAGTATCCCAGCCCCATTCTCTTAATTGTTCGGGAGTGTATTTCTTGGCTCAACTACAATCGGGCTTTAACGGAAATCCTTCCGGACGGGGCATTTGGGTTTCAGTGCCTTTTTGGATGCCGACTTTTCATTCTCTTTCGCTAAATTCCAAAGGAATTATTTTTTTGGTTTCGCGAATGAAGTTTAAAGTGGCTAAAAGTTTGGTTTCTTCGGCTTTTAATTGGAGGGATTTTTGGATTTTGTTTATTCGGGATTGTTCAGCTGAGGAATCTAATAATTGCTGGTTTTTGATATAATTGTCAAGGCGTTCATTGGCTCATTGGGCTTCTTTTTTGGCTTGTTCGGTCTCTTCTTTATTTTTTTTAATTTGTTCTTGAAGTTGTTCGGTAGTTTGCCGGAGATTTTGAACTTCTTCACTAAGTTTATCGACTTTTTTGTTGGTGTCCTTGGCAATGTTAAGAGTTTCATTAATACGAGTGTCTAGTTTTTGCGAAAGTTTATCCATCCGAGTGTGAACCTCCTCATGAATTTCCTCCATTTGGTTAGCCACGAAATCTAGTTTATGTTTTTGGAAGTGAAGAATATCGTTAGTTTCGGATAACTCATCGAATATTTGTTCTCTTTCTAAGGCTGATTTCTTTTGTTCGTATTTAATGCTGGATAATTCTTCTTCATGTTCTTCCAGGGCTTCCCTAGTATCTTTGATTTTAGCATCAAAAATTTTAGTTTGAGTTTCAAAGTTTTCTTGGCTTTCTTGGAGGTCATTTTGATATTTAGCCTCTTGGAGTTTTATTTTAGATTGGAATTCGGCTTGGGTGTTTTCTAGTTCGGCTTGGGTTTCAGATAATTTTTGGTTAGTTTGAAATTGATAACGATTGAAATGGTCTTGTAATTCGTCCTTTTCTTGTTGGAGATTATTGATTTTAGTGTTGGCAACATTTATTTTGTCTTTGACTTCTCTTATTTCGGCTTCCCTTTGGCGTTTTTCTTCTTCTATTTTGCGTTTGTTTTCTAAGATTTTCTTTTCCTGCTTCTCAAATCTTTCATTAACTTCGTTTTTGAAGTCTTCTAATTCTTGCCTTAACTCATTTTGAGCCCGAGTTAAGTTTTCCGTGACTTCTTGTAAAGCTTTTTCTAATTGTTGTTTCTGTTTTTGTAGGGCTTTTTTAGTCTCTTCGGCTTGGCGTTTTTGTTCGCCAGACAGAGCCGCGATTTTCGCGTCTTGGGCTTTGATTTCTTGGTCGAACTTTTCCCCTTGTTGTTTTAAGGCTCCTTCTAATTCGGATTTTACTCCTTCAATCTGACCTTGGAGAGCTTTGCCTTGACTTTCGATTTGAGCCTTTGCTCCGGCTAAACCATTCTTTAAGTCTCCGATATCATTTGATAAATCAGGAAAACCAATTCCTCCCCCCGCTTGTAAATCTTTTCAGGCTCCTACACCTCTTTTTGCCATTTTTACTCCTTTTTTAAGAGCTTTACCGGCAACTGGTATCATATCCAGTCCTGTTTCTAATGCTCCTCAAAAAAAATCACTTCATCCCATAGTTATTTGATGTTATTTAGAGTCTTGCGACTATTATTTTTTTTCATGTTTCTTTTGCTTTCTTTTTCTGCTATAAATAGGTTGGATTTGCTCTTCCAGAGAATTATCAGGTTTAATTTCATTACTTTTTGTCTCAACTTCCCGGCATTCATCTATTTTCGTCTCTCTCTCTCTCTCTCTCTCTCTCTGGCTTAAAAAACTCTTCTAATTCTGCTAACTTTTCGTTAACTTCTTTTCGACCTCAGGCCATGGTAGATTTATTTAATTGTTCTTTTAACTGATTAAAAGTTTTCTGTCCTTGGCTAAATAATTCTTCTTTTAATTGGGGCAAATTATTATCACCTCAATTGTTTTTGCTGGCTAATTGGTGCTTCAATTCCTTGTTTTGGTCGGCTAACTTTTCTAATGCCCCTTCCAATCCTTTTACTTTTTCTTCCATTCAATCTTTTAAAGATTTAATTTTTTCATTCTTTTTTTTAATCAAATCGGACTTTTCCTCATTCAAAAATTTAATTTTTTGGGTCAATACACCTTTTAAATCCCTTAAATTCCACTTCTGATTAACATCAATTCCCACTTCCGTAGCCCATTTGGCTACTTCGTTTCACTGCTGGATTAAATTGGTTATTTGTTTATCAGATAAATCAGTCTGAATTTCTTTTTCTGACAGGCCAATATCCATCTGTGTTCCAACTTCTTTCTTATCCAAATCCTTTTCTACCCTTTTTTGGTAAAGAGTTTGATAATGCTGAACTTGCCTTTTTAAATCTTGAATTAAAGAATCGTAACTTCTTTGGTCAATAGATGGATGATTATTCTGCTGATAATAAAGGTAGATTACCAGAACTATTAAGGATAAAATTATTATTTCTCTTGTCATATTTTCTAACTTCCACTTAAAATCCACAAAATAATCAATAAACCAACCCCAATCCAAAACAAACCCCGATAAAATGATTCTTGCTTGCGATAATAATCAAAAGGTTTGTTAATCTGTTCTCTGGCTTTGCCACCATACTCATTTAATTTTTGAGATACCTGATTTTCCATTTGTTCGGTGCGGGTGGCAATGGGTCTTTTAACCCAATTTTCTCATTTGTTTTCTAATCAGCCTCTTACGGCTTTTTTAACTCCTAAATCTAGATCGTAAGTCATAAGGTTTAAAATTATTTTTCGGTGTTTTTATTGGTTAATCAAATTGATAGAGCATAAAGAGTGAAGAGTAGGATGATTGGTCCGTAAGCAGTTCAAAAATCAGAATCAGGAGTAATTGACTTGGCCTCTTTATTTTCCGCATTTATCAATTTTATTTCTAATCGGGCTTTTTCACTTTGACTTTGGCCTAATTGCTCTTGGAGTTCAAATTTTTTCTTATTAACTGTGCGTAATTTAGTTTCCAACCTTTCAATTTCTTTTACTCCGTAATCAATATTACTTTCTAAATCTTTTTTCAGTTCTTTATTTTTTTCCCAGTAATCACCAAAATCTTTGAGTTTGCTAATTCGCAATTGGAGAATTTGGTCTTCTAATTGGGTGATTTTTTGTTTTAGTTCTTCGGCATTTTCTTCCGGAGCATCTACAAAGATTTCCTCACTTTCTTGGCTAGGCAAATCATTCAGACTTTTGCTTCTTTTTAAATGGGAGGGTTTCACACCTGGCTTAACTTTTTCCTGTAATTCCTTTTGTAATTGGTCTTTCATAATATCAAATTAAATTCAATTCAAACAATAGGCCACAAAAACTCCGGCGGGAAGAACCATTTCTCCCAAGTAGGCTAAAATATAGCCCGTTAAAATACCCATAATTAAGTAAATTAGCATAATTCATTGTTAAGGACGGGGCAATTGCGTTAATTGGCATCATCAGCAGAGATTAGAGTTTAAAAAGGGTTTTCTTTTCTGACAGAGTAGGCATTTATTCATAAGTTTTTAAGGGGAGAAAGGGAACTAGCAACCATTATGAACGATTCAATAATCAAATTAGAAGACTAGTTTTTATCTCCCCGTTTTAACAATTCAACCTCCTTCTTCAACTCATCAATCTGCTTCTGCTCTTTACCATTCTTTTTCTCTAAAACAATTTGTCGTTGACGAATTACTATGGTATATCCCGCAAAAATAGCCAATGAGATAACATTAGTAATCCCTAAAACCAAGGCAATTTCACAGCAGGTGATCATTATTCAGAAACAGGTTGCAATAAATTAGTCAAGCAAATCCCAATTTGCTGATAAGCC